GTGATTTATGATTTGTCAACAATGACCGATTTCATTCGAAAATTCGTATTTCTAAGAATGCGATGAAAGAAACGAACGATTGCTTAATATAATAATGCATAACGATCATTTTGACGATTAACGTAATTTACAACATTTTGTACAGTTACCTCCGACTAACAATAAGTGGTATGTCTTAATTTGAAGAAGTCCAGTGATAACCATTGATCGAGAACCTATCGAACGAAAGTCTCCGTCAGATGATTTACTTGCAACAACGTAACATCCGCTTCTCTATTATCTATTTCTCTCGCGAGACGAATGGAGTACAGGGCAAAGACAAATTAGTGACAGAAATCATTCTCAAAGTTCAGACGTGGCGCCTACGCAAACTTCGTTAACACGTTAGCCCGCGCCAGAGAGGGAAGTAGTTAATTAACGCTTGCAAATTAGATAGCAGAGTAGAGTGTTACGCGCTATCATTCGACAAGGGGGCAAACATTGTTAACGGGCGATCAATCTGGCAAAGTTGGAAATCATAGCTGGTAATTGATTTGCAAATCTCTCGAGTAACAGGGCGGGGAGGGGATCACCCTTGTCTCGAACAGGTAGATCAATTCGATTCGAGTCGAGTCGAGTCGATTCGATTCGATTCTCCTCTACAATTATGGATTATTCCCTTGGTTACGACTGCCAAGCCAAGTAGAAAACGAAATACGAAGAATATGCATCCGTGCAATTAAGTAAATTACGCTTTCCGTTTTGCCCTTTCGGCCGTATCAATTAATCAGCATTCGTATAAATTATTTATACGTAGACTCGTTGTTGGCCGGAGCAGAGATTTCTTTGTGAACGCGTTCCCCTTTCCCGTCGAGATCTTTTATTTCAAGCGGACTCCGGATTCAAGTAAATTCGATTATTATATAGAGGAACTGTTTGATAAACCGTCCGGTTTGTTCGTTCTTTTTGCAGGTTTCTTCAGGGATCTTCTTGCCAACAGTAAGAAGGTTTTCCACGAGATGTTTAAGAAGACGTACGGGATTCTCTACGAGCAGAATTCGTTCGTATTCACGGATTTGTTCAAGGAACTGGAAAACTATTATGCCAAGGGAACGGTGAGTTCTATTTAATTTCCCCTGTGTAAATACGTATTTTGTACATGCACGAAATATTATTCTCCAAAAACGTAATTTCAATTCCTTGCAAACAAATGTGAACAAACCAAGTGAATTCAATTCTTTTCCGACCTTTCGACCCTTACTTAGATCCATCGTGTCCATTTTCGAAACATCTCGGCTCGCGCCGGGCCACGACTATCCAATTTCGTTTGCGATGCGACAAATCAAATTCCACGATAAAATCGATAGGGGTGCGGGGGCGCAGGATCTCGATTTTCAAAGGCCGAAGAATTTGTTCGGTCCCCGTTTTCCCTTCTCCCTCCCCTTTTTTTTTTTTTTTTAATGCTGCACTTCGTACACCCGGCAAAGTTGTCGCAGCGGTGGAAGGCTCGTCGAGGGGTGAAAACTTTCGGGGGAATCGGCCTGAAACCTCGACCCTCGTCCAGCGGACGTTTAACCGCGAGCAACGAGACTTCGTGACAGGATGGTGGAAAGGTTCTCGTGCGAAGGCGAGTTTAATCAATGCTTTTGACGTTCGGGGATCGCGAGCGTTTGCCCGATAAAGGGCCAGAAAATATATATCCTCGTTTCTCTCTTTCCTTGTTTCTTTCTCTCTGTCTTCCTCTCTAATGTTTTCCTAAATTCATGATCCCCTCTCTCCCTCTCTTCCCCGAAGAACGAAGATAAAATGGCCCGTTGCCGGGAAGCTGCAATTACCGGACGGGTTTCACTTTATCTGTCGGCAGTTGTCTGTTGTATTGGAATTGATATCCGGACGGGGAGGTTGTTTCTGGAAAAGTGGAGGCACCCACTTTGTTTCAGCAAAGGAATATCCAGCGGCTTTCGTGTATTTAGGTCCAATTCCTTTTCGTTTCTTTATTGGCTCCTTTTTCTTTATTCTTTGAATGGTATCGTTGAGGCTGCAGATGACCGTAGTATTTATTATTGTCCATTCTCGATAGATTATTTAAAAATGGATTTCTCGAAATTCAATTATTTATTAAGTTTCGTCGATTCTATCTGATAGTGGTAATTAATAATTCATTTTGCAATGAATTCGTGACAATGACAAATACATCCCCATTGGTATAATATAGTAAAATTCTAATGTATATTTTATGGGTTCCATTTGGGGACTCAACATATATCTTGAATCTTTTTTCCTTCATCCAATGTCTTCTCTTCAACGTCCTCTACTGATTCACAAAATGTTACCATCCTTCGAAAGTACGTTATAAAATTCCAAAAAAAATTTCACATATTTCCCTTCGACGTGAAAACTTTCCCCCCCATCCAGTGTCTCTTCTTCAACATCCTCCACTGATTCACGGAATGTTGCCACCCTTGGCGAGTTATAAAAACTCAAACAGTTTTCTAGATGTATGTGTTTTTTGAATTTTTCTCACTTCAATCTTCTTCGACACTCTCCGGTCGCAAGGCATGGCCAAGCTTTACATATGTAAGTATTATATCCGCGGAACCTGTCGCGTCCAGGTGATCTAATGGCCGTTTCCGTTCGCCATACGTGGCACGCGTTCGAGATCACGTTGATCGGCTCGTCACGTCGTATCGATCAGACACGGGGAAACGGGATGCAGGAAGGTGGTTATGCGAGTAAAACGAAAAGGAACACGGCGAAAAGAGACGGAAATCGAGAGGATCTATACCGTGAGACGACGTATTTCGAGGGCGCGATTGTCATTCAAATCGGCTGGAATTATTCAGCGGCGCCACTTGGAGCGCCGGCCTCAGCTCCCGTGCACGCTCGAAAATGGCCCCGCATGAATATATTATTGTTGCAATCGCACGCGTCGCTGCCGAGTAACGAATTTATACGACGGTGATATATCGCGTCGCGGAGGATTCGAATTTATCGGGCACCTCCCGTTTCTATCTTTCTGCCTTTCCGTGTATGTTCGATTGGCCAATAAGTAACGGGATATTCCTGGCACGAAGAGATTTCTTCACTCTTTCGTCCCTGTTCCTCATCGCGGTTTTTACAAACGAAAAATTGATGAATTTTCAGAAACCTTGTCAAAATTTTTAATTCTTTTATTTTACTTATTCTCTCTAATTATTAACAGCAATTAGAAACAGTATTTTTCGAAAAAAAGAACAACTTCTATTTCTGCATTACAATTATATATAATATAACATAAATTAATTTTATATGTACTACATATAATTATATATATCGCTGTATAGATTAACAAACGAAAGATAGACCTTAATTTTCATAATGCAACGAAGAAGGTGATAATCCTTTGTTGCAAAAATGAGTGATAAACATTTTTTTTATCCATCTAAGATTTATGTTTCCTTTCTTCGATCTTCTCTTCCATCCCTTTATTTGTCTTTTTCCTTTCCTTTTCCCGCTCATACTTTTCCATCCACACGATAATCGATAATACGTTCCGTCGAGCCGCAGGATTATTCTTTCGATCGAGACGATGCTCGGATATATCGGGGATGGATAGAAATTAAAAAGGAGCATCCCTGTGAATGGCTGATCGACGAGCTGACTGTGTACACCCTCTCGTAGGGGCGAGAAGGGCGGGGGGGAGATAGTTCTTTGTTTCATAGGTTCGTTCGATTACCTGGCCTCTTTGGAAGCAGGTATTTTTAGAGGGATTTCTGCTTCTTTATTCTCCGGCTAGATGATTGCTCTTGGAGAGGTCAGTTCAAAAATTTGGAATATGAAATTTAGGCTTGGTCTTCATTGTTCATAATTCTTTTCAGTGAGTGAATCTTTTGAGATTTTAATTTGCACCCAACGTCAACGAACGTTATCGTATTGTAATATTTTTCTTTGTCAGTTGTTCTGTGTTTAGATAGATAGTTCGTTTTGTTCGAAAAGCAAGGGGTGATTTATGTGCAGTATTCGTACAATTGTTACTTTCGTGAAAAGCTTTTGTGTATTGTAAAACATTTTGAAATTCCATCAACTAACTGTGAATGAAAGATAAATTACGTTATTATAATTAAATATGATTATTAATTGTATTATGATTATGATACAATGATGACTTGAAACCAATCAGAAAATGTATGTAAAAATTGAAAGATATTTATTGCAATAGAACGTTATTAACATAATACCTAGAAACAAATATTAATTACTTAAATGTTGACGTTCTTTCTGTTGCTGCAGGTCGATCTCGACGACACTATGGATAATTTTTTCAACACGCTCTATCAGAAGATGTTCACGGTGCTGAACAGTCAGTACAACTTCGATAACAAGTACTTGGAGTGCGTGGGAGAGCATATGAAGGAAATTAGACCGTTCGGCGATGTGCCTCAGAAATTAGGGGTGCAAATCAAGAGGTCCTTCGTTGCAACAAGAGCATTTAGCCAGGCTTTAACCGTAGCGGCGGATGTCTTGAAGAACATGCAATCGGTAAGAGAGATGTTTGTCTGCTTCTCTTATTTGTTACAATAGAATAAACTCAGTGGGAAATTGTCAGTCATGACTAAAAAATAAGCTTGGCATTAATTGCTCAAAAAGTCTTAAAAAATTCTCTCTCTCTCTCTCTCTCTCTCTCTCTCTCTCGAAATTTCAAGAATGTCTTTAGAATATTTTCCCCAACTGTCGCACGATGTAAAAATTTCAAAGAACTTAAAGGACAAACTCAGGAAACTGTCAAGCTTGTACTTCGTTCGTTCGTATCGAGATACAAAGATGGCGAGCTGAATTCAGTCTCGCGATGACAAACGATAGAGAGGTACCACCTCCCCCAAAGGAATAAACTATAAACAACGATAAACGTAAGAACACAGCTGGAAAATCGGTTTGGTTTTCCACAGTTGAAACCGTCGGCGGATTGTGCAGCTGCACTCACAAGGATGACGGTGTGCCCGTCGTGCAGCGGGATCACCGGCAACGTGTTAGCGTGCGGCGACATGTGTGCCAACGTGATGAAGGGTTGCCTCGCTCAGCACGCGGCCCTGGACGCTGAATGGAATCACTTCGTCGGTGAGTAATTTCCACGTGTATTGTTCCATTGGTAATTACAGGCTCGGCGATATAATCCGTCTATTGACCTCGAGTCACGAACACTTGAATATTTTATCTATTAACAATCGCATGTTAATAAGTTTCTATGAGATTTCGGCTGAATACACTGTTACTGAAAAGGAGAAATGTTAAGTTTTAGCATTTCTTAGAAAAACGAGAATTTATTTAACGATTTGCTATTACTTCGCAGAGTAACTGTGAAACTTGGAGAAACTTTAATTCGCAGTGTAGCTAATTTAAAGTTTCGAAAATTTTTAACAAATGCCAGGATTTGCAATGTGTAAGAGAGTATAGGATTCCTTGCCAAAGGGAAAGAAAAATTAAATTACACAGTATCCCAGGAATTTTATGTATCTTCAAAAATATTATACAATTTACAAATAGATTTATACAAATATAAACAATTGTTGTGTAATTACATACTTGTTCGAAGAATTGTACATTAAAAATGTATGATCCTGTAAAATTTCAGAGGCCGTAGACAAGGTGGCAGATCGCCTGTTGGGCCCGTTCAACATCGAAATGTTAGTACGACCCATCAATCTGAAGATCTCGGAGGCGATCATGAACTTTCAAGAGAACAGCAACGACGTCTCGCAAAGGGTGTTCACTGGTTGTGGCCGGCCAGTGTTAGGCAGGCGTAGACGTCGAGACAATCGAGAATTGGAGCTCGAATCGTTGAATTTCGATCAGGAAACACTGACGGACGATCGTGCCGCTCTTTTGGACAAATTGGTGAAAGAGACACGGCAGAGGGTAAGGGATTCGAGGCAATTCTGGGTTTACTTGCCCTATAAGCTTTGCAACGACGGCCTTGTGGTTCCTCCTAGCAATACAAAGGAGTGTTGGAACGGCACACACGTAGATAAGTGAGTATCTTTGAGATATTCATATTCTCGTCATTGTTTTTCTTTTTTTTCTTATAAAAATTAGCAACTGGCTAAAAACATTGTTTTAAACAGTAAGCAGTAGTAAATAATTTATTTTATCTCAAATTGCGTAAAAACTTGAAAAATAAAATATTTAAATTTTGAAAAACAAAACAATTTTTTATAAATTTCAGCATTTCATAATATTTAATATTTCAATAGTGTACAAATATGAAGGATTTATGGGATTATTGCCATTTATGTTGCTTATATCAAATATTGAAAGTAGTAGTATCTCTGAATTAATTAATAATTCAATAGTTTTTTTAAATTTTTATATCGACGATTGCTTCACAATTTGTATACAATCAAAGTTCTCAGAATAATATTCCATCAATGTTTCAATTTAAATTTTTAATTCATATATTTGTTCTGTTTTTTTTTTTTAATTTGTACGCACTACCTTTTGAATTAAAATTTGCATAATGATCTCAAGCGTATAATTTCTCGAATCTCTGCTTCATACGTTCGTTCCATGTTCCTCGAAAACTCACGTACTACTACTTTTTAAATTGAAATTTCGCGTGCAAAGATTTATTAATAGATGATATTCCAGTTTGTATCTTTAATTTATACGTTTGTCCCTTTTCTTTCAAAAGCTTTTTTGTTTTTATAAAGAAAAGTATTTACAAAAATTAAAAGTCGGCATTAGAAAATTTTAATTTGCACAGTCTAGTGTATTAAAGTATCCAATTAAATTTTTAGCTCACGTGTTCGTTCCGTGTTTCTTGAAAGTTCGCGTACGCCACTTTCCAGATTAAAATTTCGTACAATGAATTCATTGATAAAAAAAAAAAAAAAAAAAAAAA